TACGATTATCTTTATGTAGTGCTTAATTCTGCTTTCACTGTTTCACTTTTGGTTTTCCTAATGATGGGAAGAGTTCATCAGGCTTAAATACAGGTCTGCAATTTATTTACTGTAGTGACTTCAGCGTAGCTCAGGGACAGCAGAACTGGGCTTGAGCTAGCTACTAAAGTGCAACGCTACAGCTTCGCAGCGCTGACACCCCAGAAAAATGAGGCAACACTTGACTGAGGCCCTTCTAGCCTACTAAATGCTAGTAAAAGCCTTGGCCACTAAACAGGAAAACCCTCCCATGTACCAAAGAGAGTTGCAGACACACCAGGGACTCCAAATGAGATAGGACTTTTGTACTGAAGCCAAGAGACCCCAAAAGAGCTTTCTCAGTCCCATACCCCCTCAACTTCTACCCCGACATTCTTATAAACCACTGAGTTCTCCTGGCTAAGGGGTTTCCTCTTCATTCTGCTCTTTGAATCCCCTCTTGTTTCAAATCCCCACAGCGCCTCACACAATAAACAGGAAGCAGATTCTAACAACTTTGTCCAAGTCTTCTTCCACTGCTAGCCTAATGATAGTGCATATTTCTCCCAGCCCTGTTGAATACTTTCCAATTTCCATTTAGAGCCATTTGGCTCATTCAACATAGGCAGCATTTGTGATATTTGGCAAATTACTCTTTTTTTCCTCACGCTTCCTATCTAAACCAATATCTTTCCTCAGGGAAAGGCTAATAGTTCAGTGTTGCAGCAAAGAAAAAAAAACCCTATCATCCCCAGCTCCAGGTAGTAATCCATTTGTACCCTGAAACATGAGAGCTAGTATTTAGTGTGGGTTTAACTTGGAAATATCATTCCACTTACTGCGAATGTGCCCATTTTGTACAGCACAGAGTATGCAGGCAGCACTTCATTTTTGAACACGGCTAAAATGATACTGTCCTCAGTGTCCCATGGCAATAATTTCCTTGCATTAATTACAACCCTTAAGAAAGTATTTCTTTTTATCTGTTTTAAATTTGTTTCCCTTAAATGTCACGGAACCTTGCCCCAGCACCTGTAATATGGCACAGGGGAAGAAGATTGTCAAAATGGCCTCGTGCATTAATTAACTCCAGCATCTCCATCTCTTCTCACACAGAAGCCCCTCTTCCTCAGCCTCTAATCGTTGCTCTTCACTGGACCTTTTCTGTTGCTTTCCTTTGTCCTTTTTGAAGTAGGGCCGCTAAAACGCAGTATTCAAAGTGAAGATTAGCGCTGTGATGAATCTTTGATTTCTGTTCACTGGGTACATGAATCTCCCTGTTTGACATTTATATTCTGCCAGTGTTCCAAAATGAATATAAATAATGCAAAATTTGCGATAATGTGATTTCTTAATTCAATTTACTCAAATTTCTGGCTCAATCATACATCCACATTTTTGAAATTATAAGTTCTTGCCCCAGTGTGATCGATACAAATCCTCACACAGAAATAGCTGTAGTCTTAGAGGAGCAAAGGGCAGTCCAACTAGCACACTAGTTCTGCCTGGCAGTGACTGGTACAGAATACTTACAATATGTAAGAAAACCCCAATACCAAAGAACTGCAGACATCATTCCTGCAACAAGCAAACGTTTTAATTCTGATCAGTTACTTACTGTCAGTAACTTACATCTCCAATTCAGATATCAGTACCTTAGTGATAAATCTATTTTCATTTTAACCATATATGAGAACCTGGCTTCATTAATCCCACATAGCAGTTCTGCTAGCTGAAGAGTCAAAAGCAGCCATCATCCCATGCAAACAAGGAGGTTATTTACTTCACTGAAGTATATGCACAAAGAAATGGGAAGGGAACAAGAGAAGACATCACAAGTCACTTGGCTCCTTCTGCCACATGCAGCAGAGTCCTTTATCAGCAATGCAGAACAAGCAGTGAGATGACCTCCCCAGGCTGCAGCCACCAAACAGCACCTTCCATCCTACCAAACCCCCAGCAAGCCATTGGCAGGGGTTTGTTATGCTTTCCATTTCCAAAGTTAAGGTCTGGAGAATATCATACCCAAGACAACAAACCTGGGGAGAAATCAGAATTTCTATGGCCTATCACACATAGAAGGCCAGAGACATTGCTTGATTGCTAGCTACTGGTGGGGAAGTCAATTCCTCCCCATGCCAATAGTCACAACCACCATCCTGTCTTTCTTACCCCACTGATGTGAAGGACCATAAACAGCCATCTCCAGGCCTCTCCCCACCCCATCCTGTCCAGCTGTGTCTTGCTCTCCACAAGCTTGGCCCCAGACTGTCTTTAGGACAGCAAGATTCAATTGCCCAGGCCACTGCCCTGAGAGTCCAGGGGTTCCTCCCAAACACCTCCCATGGCACCATCTAGATGTGGATACATGAGAGGTTGCTTGATGTTTTAATCAGTGGAGTCAGGGTGCTCAGCTGATTTGGGCAATTAGAGCAGAAATCAGAGTGTTAGGGCTGCTCAGCAGCCAGCTGGACATTTGACAGCTGTCAGACTTCATTTACCTGCTGACAGTATTTAATCTGCCAGACAAGAGATCCAACTAGGGTGCCTGTCATCAGCCCCTTTCTGGGACCCAGAGGAAGCCTTTAAGAGGCATGACACCAAGAAGGACCATCTAGGGCCAGGAAAGGAATCTTAAGGGGTTTTCTTCCCTCTACCCTTCCAATTACTTCTTCTCCCAGCTACATCTCTTGCTGCTACCTGTCTGTAACACACGCTGGGAAACTGGACAAGGCAAATTCCTAGGGGTAGTGTTAACCAGGCTCAGGCTGGACACAGCATTTTGGATGAATCATATGGAAAAGGCAGATTTCCAGGAAGCAAAGTTGGTAAAAATGTTGAAGACTACCCAAGTGAAGGGCAGAAGAGATACAGTTGTGGCACTGAATAGCAGTCTGCGGTCAGAGGAAAGACATTCATTCCTGGGACAGCACGTGGATGACTATGGTCAAAAGGGAAGACATTTTATCAATCATGTCAACACCTAGTGGCATTTTAATCTCTGGTGTAGGCGAGACCTTGTTGATAAAGGTTCCCATACGTACATATGGGGAAAGACTAATTCCTACACACTTTTAAAGCCCTACTCCTCCTTCATTTGACATTATTTTCACATGGCCTAGAACTGCCTTGTTGATATTACAGTCCAGGAGCTTGGCAAGTTTGCAGAGTGACTATACCAAGATCATTTACGAGTCACAGGACTGTGAACAGGCATCTGAAAGCAATAAACAGGTTTTTAATGTTCAGGGTTTGTTTTGCTTCTTAAGCTCTCTCGTTGAAATAAGAACTGTCCGGATTGATTTGCAGAGCCACGAGAGGTATATGCTTTGTCTGTTGCCAAGTTTCAGACCAGAGGAAGCTTTGACAAGAGCTATATACCTCAGAAATTGGGTTGATCATAGAAGTTCTAACATTTCCATAACTATAGCAACACAAATGGCCCAGCTAAGTATTCCTGTTAATGAGACACACTTCAAGGAAGCAATTGCTGTACTTCTTGTTATAATAATGTACTCAAGAGATCTGAGGATTTCATTTCTCCTTCTCCACAAGCCAGCCAGGATTTTAAGGGTTGGGGCTTTTTTTTTTTTTGGTTTAAGGAACACTCCATTGTACTATTAAAAACTTTGTGGGTTTTTTTTTTCTTTTAAAATTTTAAGAAAACATACACATGCTTTTTGATTCTCCAGGATTGGTATGCCAAGACACCACTGGGTAAAGCACGTAACAAAGCACTGGCACTGAAAAAGAAGGAAAGGGAAGGACTTGAAGGAAAAAAATAATTTCCTCAAGAAATTTGCATCTGGTGATATCAGCCACAGCTCCACTTCACTGAAAATGAGGAAACGTTAGGAAAACAGACACGTCGGAATAACGCACCCCAAGTTACAGCTATTGCAGGAAAAAGAAGTCCTTTCTGAATAAATTTTTTTAAAAAAATCAGCTGAGACATCAGTGTGACATGTAGCGCTCAGAAGATGAAGAGTTAATGACCACTGACTTGCTTGAGCATTATTTATTCTACGAGGTTTCAGGGGGCAGTGAGGTTCATTACTCAGGACTGTAACATGCCATCAACTTTTAGGCTATACTCATTTATTTCAGCAAGTAACTCTCCTTAAAAATTGATGTCACATTAATGTCTTTCATTACTTTAATATCCTATATGCTTTATAAAACTAACTGCTTTATATATCTGTAAGTCTAATGTGTTACAGTTCTCTATAAAACTATTACAGCTATAAAGACTGCTTTTTAATTGCAATGGATTATAAAACACTTAATGCAATCTACCACAAGCTGAATATTTACATAGCCACATGAGAACCAGCACTGTTTCACCTTTCTGATGCCTCATCATGGAAAAACTCATATATGTGGATGTTAGCAGAAAACATTAATAAGCAGGACAAAATCAAAGCAGTCAGGTGGTGTTCATTTTGGTGGATTTCCCAGGAATATATTTTGCAGTAGAGCACAATGCCCAATTACCTTGTTTGCACAAATGGCAATATACCTGTTGCTTAACAGCAGCTGTAATGGCAGCCTGGAATAGGCCTGCTGAGCTTTCTAAAAGATTGTTTCATGCTCTCTTAAACTCGACCCACCTAGATCTGCTTCAGCTTCTTCTAAATCCAATCCCACAAGCTCTGTTTAAGTAGCCCATGAGTGAAAGTCTGCCCCATCACATTCAGACCTCCCTTATAAAGCCATGTACAGATGCATCCTGTGAGATCACCGTGGCTGTTTCCATGTGCTTGAGCAGCAAAACGTGCTGCTTTGTGGCTGGAATGTCTTCTGCACAGAAGGACCTAAGGCACGCAGGGGCACAGCTTTCCCAGTCTTGTGCTTTGATATAGTATCTTCTGCTCAATAGAGTCCATTAGGCCCCATATCCAAATATCATAAGCAGCAAATGCAGGGAACTAAAACTTCTCAGGAACACAATGCATTTCTGGTGAACACAAGTCCTGCCCCCAGCCATCCCAGCAGTAATCTGGCTGCTGGAGCCTCATCACAGCCCACACCAGGGACCCCACAAGTATGAGCTGCCAGACCCTGGATTTAATCACTTGCAACAGAGCAGCTACAAATTTTGGCTTGCTTGCTTTATTCTTCTTTACAGACGCTTGCTTGCAGCAGGCTGCCGGCTTCACAAATTTGGCAGCATATTCCAATTTAAAAGGTACTCTTCAACTTCACCCTCGGTGAGAAGAGCCAGACTTTCCAAAGAGATGGCCGGGTTTGTGTTAAAAAACCTCATCTCTGCTCTCATCTTCAAGAAAACTAATTTGGATAATTCTGTCCTCAATCTTGCCGACAGTGGAATATTCCTCTCCACAACAGGTTTGACAGCAGAACGTGATGTGATGAAAAGACCGCATTTAGGTTGGACGTAAGCAAGCCCATTAACCAATATTTCAGCAGGTTCAGTGCAATCTCAATAATGAAGTAACACACTGACTGGCAACATCCATCTCCAGGGCACAACTCCGACCCCATGCAGAAAGGATGCATGAACCTCTCACCATCCCAGGTGTGCTCAGCAAGGCAGAAGCCCATGCTTTTTCCTCCAGTATTCACTAGTTTGTGGGGGGAAGTAAGCACTGAGGCAATTTAACCTCTAAGTATAGCTTGCAGTGGTGGCTGCTTTCGGTTTAAACTGTGTTTCTTTTTTCCATGGAGACTTCGAAGCCACAGCTGGTGTCTCTACAAACAGCTCTGTGGGTGCAGGGGGGTGACAAAGGAGCAATAAAGCAGACAAGCTCTGCCTGCATAGCTGCCAAGCCCTTGCTCTCCTTTAGAGAGTCCTCTCAGGGGGTATGGGGAGGGAAGAACAAGGAGCAATTTCAATGCTATTTATAATTATTATTACAGAAAGTGCAGCTACTTGAAAATGAAGCTGTTGCATCAAGCAGAGCCAACACACAGTAATTTCAGTGTCAATGGCTGAACTATTCTATTAAGTGGCCCTGGCTGGATCTCCAACACCCATCCCACTGTGAGGCTAATAGTGCTCTCACAAGGAACATTGCTAGAGATGCTCTACCAGGTCTGAACATCAGTACATAGAGATCTTTCAGCACAGGAGAAAAAAATAAAAATAAAAATAAAAGGATTGTAGCTTTGCTAAGCCCAGCTGCAGAGCTATTGCGCTCTGCATCCCAGCTGCAGCCTCCTGGCACACCAATCCCAAAATCTGAAGAGGGAGGAAAATCCCCTTTGCTATTTCTTATCCCCTACTCAGCTTCCAGCAAGAGGTGAGTTTTGGGGAACAGTGGAGAGAGGCACCAGGCTGCTTTGCCTTCCAGTGTGGTGGTGGGAGGTAATCCAGCAGCACCAGCAAAGTTGAGAAAAGAAGCTGTCATGCTCATTTATATATGTAAGTGATCTACAGAATTATCATCTAAATTATTTAAATGTCCCATTACTATTAAATTACTGGGCATTCATTGTAAGAACAGTCATAATACAGTAACTAATTTGGTATTAATGTGAATGTCAGCATTTCATTGCAGTTATTTTGTACTTCATCATAAGATAATTTACCAATAAATTAATTGGCTTAATTGCTTCCTCCAAACCCAGGAGAACTACATATGACATGACTTTTTAAAAGTGTTTGCACTCACTCCCCATCTTTCTGCTTTAACCACACTAAGTGGGAACCCCTTTGAAACACTTGGGGAGGCACAGCCAAGAAAGAGGGAGCAAAGGGTGGTTTCACTGTCCCAGAGGCAATAAAGTCTTGGCACATCTCTACTCTGGGGATTTTAATGTGCTTTAAATACAGCCGTGCTTGGAGCAGGAGCCCAGGTTCCAGTGCCAGCTTTGCAGGGTTGTAGGTGGTGGAGCAAGGAGCACGGCCTCAGCACTCAACCTCCATCCAAGGCAGGGGAACCACCTGGGAGCCATTCCTGCCCACGTCTCTGTTGTAAAAGCTCCCCCATATCACCTTTGCCTCCCCAAAATACCAATAACCCCCAATGCCCATCACCTGGGCATCAGCTGACAGACCCACTCCAGTTGGAAATCAGTTGCTACCAATTTGCCACAAGGCAAAAAATAGTGCCCTAATCAGGATTTCAGGTGCATAGCAGATACCCTGCCTCAGATATCTGCCAACTGATTTAAACCCTATCAGTAATCCTAAGAAACAAGCAGTTCATAGTAGCGCTTGGAATAGGATAAGAAAGAAACTAAAACCAAGTGGAGTCCTAAGTCACAAGGCATCAACTCCATCCTATTCCACAGCACCCACCAAGCACCCAGGGAACAGCCTCTCGATATCTTCAGAGACCCCAGGCACCATCTGTTTGCCTCCATGCAGAAGGTCTGTCTACCTCCTGGCCCCAAGCTCTCGGGGCTGCAGCCAACCAAAGGCAGCCCTGGTCCCACACAGCCAGGCGGGAGGGCAGCATCCTCAAGGCAGGAGGGATGAAAACTGGCCCTCACGAGGTAAGAGGCAGCAGCCGCTGTGAAGTCACACTTTTGCCATGTGCCACGGGTATTATTAGGTCCCTGGCTCGTGTCAAGTGCTCGAGTTATGCCGCTGTGGCCAAAGTCCTTTAATCAGACACTGTAACTCCCGTTAAGAGCAGTGCCAGCCCTTGTCTCTTGATCCCTGCCAATTCTGCATGAGCTATTTTGCCTTGCTAGCCTGGATGGACTGATTTAGAGATAGGATTATTGGGAGTGCCCCTGCCTTCCTGAAAACTGACTCCTCCAGCACTGCTATTTTTACAACCGGTGCTGAAGCTCTCTGGCAGCCACAGCCAGCCTCCAAGAGCTCCCACCCCTCCACTCCCCAGGAGCTTAGGAAAAGTTTATTGCTGTTTTCTTCTCCAGGAGACAGGAAAAAAAAGCTCCATTGATAGCCCAGTGGGTAAGGACAGCTATTTTCTCCAGATTCTTGGTTTAAATGTTTTTTAATATATTAACAAGGCTCTTCTGCAAAGCGTGGGAACAGATTGCACTGGACTCAGCGTTTTGGCACGTGCTCCTCCATCCACCATCAGGGCGAGATCAGCCCAACTGCAAAATGGTGCTAAATCTTTATATACGATGATTTACTTTGGTCCTGGGCAGCCTTCATCACTCCAGGCTGGCAAATGCTCCAACTCCAGGTTGAAGCAGCCCAAGGGAATGCATTTCCTTCCAGCACGCCCTGCCCAGAGACAAGTCCCAACCACATGGTGCCTGCTGTAGCTTATTGTTTAAGTTGCCATCAGAATTTTAAAAAAAAAACCCCACAATCCGACATTTCTCAGCAAAACACCCCAAATCCAGTAATACAAAGTGAAGCTGACTGTTCTATTAACTCTCATCCTGCATCAGCAATTTTCTAAAGTGTGGAAACATTATAATTGACTTTTCTGCTAGTAGCAAAATGTCATTTTTTTCTTAATACTTCCTAAGTCAGTAATGCATTTCAAAAACCTCCAATGCCACTACCACAACAGGACTTACAAATTAGCACATTTTTAGCTTTTCATTAAACACAATACCCAAAAAAAAAAAAAGCCTCATCATATTAGGGTTTCTCTCCTCATTATTGAAAGTACTGCGACTTTGGAACTTCGCGCAGCAAATTATAATGCACTCAGCCTGGGTCCATTGTAAATCAGGGCTTCAAAAAAGGTGTCACGTAGTCAGGCCCTCTTTAAGCACTGAAAATATTGGAGTCTATTTGAAAACGCCTTATGTAGTCTCTCACTAGCCTTGCAAATCATCACAGCACCGGGTAGAGCTTCCTTTTATTTTTTGCCTTGTGGCATCAAGCCATTTCTATTCCAACCAGAAAAAGAAGATTATTTCTTGCTGGGATTTCAAAAAAAACCCTCACGCCTGAGATAACAAGCTGCATAAGATCCCCAAATCATTAAGCCTCTTGTTCAGCTTTGCACGGTATACATGGGCCTGTCCTCTCCAAAGGAGAGGGGGTTTATCCAACCAGATCCCCAGCCTTGCCCTGGGATGCCTCTGGCCAGCAATGCTTTTCAGAGGCGACCACTAAGACATCACCACGATGCAATCAAAGGTACAGTGCCTATGCAGCCTTGGCTAATTCGCGAGCTCCATGCTGAAAGGCTGCTACCCTAGGAGGATGCTGAAGAAGAGGGACCATTTCTTTTGCATAGCAAACAAGCACCAGCCCATTTTTTCCACCGTTGCATTCGGCAAAAGCAGCGAGCACAGCCTCGGTTGGCCTCAAGCATTACAGCCCTCGGCTGGAGTCCCCTTTCTTAGCAGGGGGCAGAAAATAACAGGGGCTATGCCAGCACAGGAGCAGGGAGAGGCTCGCACCCAGCCCCTGGACCCCTATAAACCAGGCACCTTCCCAGAGCAGGGTGCTGCCAGGCTCTGCTCCCACCAGCTCAGCAGCCTTGAGGCCAAAGGATGGGAAACGCAAACTGCACACCCTTTCCCATTTTCCTAGCCCTCTGGAAAAAGGCTGAACATATCCCTAATTTCCTCTGCACAACTTCAAACAATGCCAGCACTGTGCAGCTTCCCACAGGTGAGACACTCCTCTCCTTAAAAATATTCATGCTTTAAGTTGCTCAGGCTAGCAAGAAAGTCATTATTAACAAGACAACTAAGTGCACCCAGCAGAAAAGGTGAAGAGAAGCATGAAATAAGGCTGTTTGCATTTCAGGAGGGGAGCTGCAAGCCAGCAGCAAGGTAAAGGACATTCGCTAATGTCCTCTTGCAGCTTTAGGCTTATACCCTACCTCAGTTTCTCCAACAAGAAAAAGGCAACCAGTAGCAACACAAGGCAAGGATTAATACAGACACTTGGAATGGGTGAAGAATATCTCACAGCACAGGCAACAGCAGCACCAAAGCCCAAAATAAGCAACAGAGAGCAAGGAACTAGGAAAAATAGGACCTGCAGAAGAAAGCCAGAGACCAGCATAATAAAAAAGTAAATACAAGGAACTCACTTTCTCTCTCTTGAAGGGTCACAACTTCTACGTTAACGTAGCCTGTATGCAGCCACTAGGAAAGAAAAGGATGCAAGTGCTGCTTCACCCACCACTGCCTGAAAAACCACCTCAAAACCCCCAGTAAACACTAAGGAACTCAGGGGATGAGGCTTTTATCTGGCTCAGCGAATCACCTGCTAATGGGAAACCTGGCCCACCTGCTGCCCTCACAGCAGATGAAACTTGTAACAGATCCTTAGCAAAGCACACAGGGCAAGCGGG